ACCAGAGACACACACAGGCGGGAAGTCAGACCAGAGACACACACAGACGGGAAGTCAGACCAGAGACACACACAGACGGGAAGTCAGACCAGAGACACACACAGACGGGAAGTCAGACAATCACATGGCTATTCCAGGCGCAATGCCTGACTCAGTGTGTTTCTGCCAGGAGGCTAAAACACATGAAAACACATAGACCTTGTAGTATGTCCTGGCATTCAGGCTGTCATCATTCTGCGCCACAAATGGAAATAATGCAAGAAAAGTTAACATACTGTATACAAACGGACTTGATGAAAGCAATGAACCTGAGACGCATTACAGAGGTGTCCCTCTGTTGGACCCTAGGGGGAGCCAAAGCTGAAGAGCATTGAGTTGAGAAGCTGGAGGACTTCTGGACATGCAAAATTTTAACTTTCACTATGGCTGTGGCTTTTCTGACACTGACTAAAATAGACCAACCATGCTTTTGAAAACTCAGCTAGGACCCGGGGGGCACTCAGCTTGCTTGGCGTGACTCACACTGGGCCGTTGATGATGAGGGCCATCATAACACTCATGTCACCGATGTACTCCTGCAGGTCAGGGTAGGGCAGGTCCAGCTCGGTGCTGCTGCAGACAGGGAACATTACTGTTAGTACAAGACTCCCCCGTGCCTAGGAATCACAGATGAGAAATAGGACATTCCCATCTTCCAATGGGCGGCCCACCCTTCTAGCGCATTCCTGCTGGGATAGACATGGACCACACCGTCGACCATCTTGCATCCGAAGCCCAGGTCAGCTGGCATCTTCTTAGGCTCTTGGTTCTCGTAGGGGTGCGTCTTTGAAGCAGGGGGGTGCACGGGGGTGTCTGTGGGACCAGCAACAGGGTGGCATTGTGATACGACTTTTACATTTCCTGCACGCCAAGCCTTACTTAATAAAGATTAGCATTTTAACAATATTCTCTCCATTCATGCATCTTTCCAATCATTTGTCCAGTGCAGATTCACAGTGATATTGCAAAGGGAACCAAAAAAAGATAACAAACTCATTCCTAAATGATTTTTTTTGTATATATATATATATATATATATATATATACACAGTATATATATATATATATATATATATATATATATATATATACACACACACACACATACCCAACATGAATACCCAACCTGAATGGCAGCACATCCAATGTTCCAGCATCAAATGGAAAGTTCCGCCAGAAAAGTGGAGGTTATTAAAGTAACAACGAAAGGACCAATTTCATGCTAATATCCTGGGTTCGCAATGAGATGTTGGACAAGCAGGTGCCTACATACTTATATAGTGTATAATGTATGTACAACGTGTATAATGCTTTTATCTATAAACACCATCATTAGAAATTAATTAGAATGTCCCTCTGGGATCAATGAAATTCATTCCATTTCACAGGGTACTCACTGTGCCTCTATGTATGTATGAAGGTTTGGCTTGATTTGTTACTGTGAGGTTGTTTCCCAGCACCCTAGTTAATAGTGTCTTTCAGCATTACGTCTGTGTATCTGATACTGGGGGAGAGCATGATTACCATGGCCCTCTTCTGCCCAGTTGCTATGGTGACAGCACTCTTATCGGGGGACATTGGTCACCTCTAAATTTATTTTATGTTAGCAGACTAACATACCAAGAAAGCTATGGTTTTATAAATGGAGCTACTGGCTTTTTGTAAGCTTTTTCACAAAACTTATCCTGCTATGTGAAGCACCCAGTGGGTGTCCGACAGTAACCATGGCAACATTCAGGTTGGACTCGCATTTTGACCAATCAGATGGTGATGATGCAACCAGCTGAGTTTGGTCATGCTTTTAGCCCTGCTAGTAAGCAGGTCCATGTCTGCGCGGTTACAGCTTGTGTACGGCTAGGATAGTTTGCAATGGAAACTGCCAGTTTGTGGTACGACTCGGGTACGGCTTGGTTCTTGGTGGCGCTGGAAAAGCACCACTAGTCTAGAGTAAGTACTAAAAAAGGGTTCTGGAACTGCCTCAGAGGAACTCCAATTGGGCCGAGTTCTTCCAATTTGAATGAAAAAAGAAGTTCCTGGTTCTGGAAAAAGGTTCTGGTTCCAGAAAAAGGTTTGGGCAGTATGAAAGCACGGACCACAGGTACCCCCAAAGCTGATCTGTGTGGGTACCTGCAATGACGGGAGCCTCTGGCACTGCCACTGGTGGCCTCCCGCCCAGCTCCTGCAGGAAGTGTGCCGTCGTGCTGCAGAAGCTCTGGAGAGACAGTGCCGTGTACTTCTGTCGGATGAGCAAGGCCCTCACCACGCACTTGGCGGCGTCCAGCAGGTCTGTGAAGGGCACCTGGATGGGCACGGAGACAACGCCGCCCAGTTATCATGCTGACAGCTTTCTTATTCAAGTTCCTAGGGGCACAACAGCAAGTAACACAGCGTGTTGGAGAGTGAGCTTAGATCTAACTGCTTAGCTGATCCCGCCGTTGACAGTGACTTACAGCAATATTGTATTTCTTCTGCCAGTTACTTCACTGAGGCAGTTTGCCTTATGTATTCTGCTCGTATTGCTGGAGTGACTGAAATCATGTGATACAGAAACACCTCAGCGGAGCTTTTACAGTGGAAAAGACAGACAGGCAGACATACATACGGACAGGCAGGCAGACATACATACGGACAGGCAGGCAGACATACTTACAGACAGACAGGCAGGCAGACATACGGACAGGCAGACATACTTACAGACAGACAGGCAGGCAGACATACTTACAGACAGGCAGACATACATACGGACAGACAGGCAGACATACTTACAGACAGACAGGCAGACATACATACAGACAGGCAGGCAGACATACTTACAGACAGACAGGCAGACATACTTACAGACAGACAGGCAGACATACATACGGACAGACAGGCAGACATACATACGGACAGACAGGCAGACATACATACGGACAGGCAGGCAGACATACATACGGACAGGCAGGCAGACATACTTACAGACAGGCAGGCAGACATACATACGGACAGACAGGCAGACATACTTACAGACAGACAGGCAGACATACATACGGACAGGCAGGCAGACATACTTACAGACAAACAGGCAGACAGGCAGACATACATACGGACAGGCAGACATACTTACAGACAGACAGGCAGACATACATACGGACAGACATACTTACAGACAGACAGGCAGAGATACATATGGACAGGCAGCTCATGGCTTCTATCCCTAGAGAGTTAGTGCTCAGCCCAGCACTGGAGTCGTTTTTGCACCTGGACTTTTTGATATTTTTCATTTTACTGAGAAGCAAGAGAGGCTCTCCTGGGACTTGAGCCAGTTTAGTCACATTTCCAGTCACTTAACACAAACAATTTTTTTGCAATAATCATAAACTGTAAAAAAGTGTAAACACCGCTGATAGGAGCAGAGTGGTATCTCCTGGGAAAACCCAAACCAACAATGTGCCCTGGTCTCAGCCCAGTTTACATCACAGGCCTTCTGACTGAATATGAACCTAACAGGCCGCTACGATCATCTCTATGAACAGTGCCATGAGTGAAAGGTACCCATGAAAGTACCCATGGCCTAATGGCATTCAGTTCTCTGCCACTCATAACTGGCATGGCCTCTCTGATGAGCTTAGAAACGCAGCAAACGTTGCCACCTTTTTGAAAACATTGTTACTCCATGGTACCTTTTATTAGCGTTGCTAAGAAAAGTCGATGCTTTTTCTTTTACTTTTATTTATTTGTGTTTTACTTATTTTGAAAATGCTATTTTACTTTCACTTGTTTTGAATTTCCCATTTAATAATTGCTTTTATTTGATCTTATTTTCTGTAAAGCACTCTGCATCACCTCTGCCTTTGAAAATGTGCTGCATAAACAAACTTGCCTTGACGAAAGATGTTCCCCTGAAATCACCTTCACAGCCTATACAGTAAATACTGTGAATGAATGTTCCTGAGAGGAGGAACATTTCTTGGTACCTTTGTATGGTGATTCCAAAAGAGTCGACAGAGTGTCCAGGATCCTTAACCCAAGGCTGTCCCCTTAACCCAAGGCTGTCCCCTTAACCCAAGGCTGTCCCCTTAACCCAAGGCTGTCCCC